GGGTTCGAACACATCCCCGGAATGATAATTTGGTGACGTTACCGGGCCACCACCACCCGGTAGATCTTCAGACCTATCCAAATCAGTAACCTCTACAACCGTTTACGAGGAACTTCACTCAATTTATTGAATCGTATCTCTTTAACAATTTGTGAAGGAGTTAACGAAGTTTTGGAGCCAACCGGTCATCGTCGGTGTTGAACTTTTAATGAGAAAACGGTTTGTACTACAACCCCATAGGGGCATAGTGCTGCATTGTTGTTTGACTACTTTTGCTATGCATCTTTACCGCAAAAGTTCCCCGGTTAACTCTTGTGTGTTTATCGATCACACTGAACTTAAGATTTTGGCGAAAGACTTCCGTTGAGATTTTCCCGACCAACAGTTTAATCCCCCACTATCCTGGCAAGAATTTGCGAATCACCCAACTGGTCAACAGTCAGTGATTCGCAGTCCAATAGATGAACGAATTTCACAGGGGAATATCTAAGACAGCTTATAAACGATTTCCTCATAACAACATATGGAATACTTACTATTTACTGCTAAACCACTTCTCCGAGTTGGTGACAGAAGATAATTTGATGTACCAAGAAATGCTCATGCGCAAGTTTATATATAATCCCAAGCTGTTGTACAAACGTAAACACCTCCAGTAAAGTTGAGTCTGGCGTTCCAATGCTAAGATTGTCATGATGTGTCTCAGTCACAACAAAGGAGGCAGCTGAAATGTTCAAAGGTCAGTACCCTCAGATGCGCACTGCACCTACCAACACCGGACTAGGACTGTCCCAGTTATTCGAGGACATACGACATTCAACGCTAACCACAACTGCTCCCCCCACCAGAAATCACAGCATCCAAAATGCAGTGTTTAAAAAGAAATTAATCTCAGGGGATAGATAACATCCATGTATAAACCCCTATCAACCGGATAATCAAAATAGCTCAGATCAGTAATTGCCGACGTTGCAATTTAGGTCAAAGGTCTACAAATTGGCGAGAGTTGGTCAATCAAGGACGAGCTGGGTGTTAGGAACCCCTTCTGGCGCGAAAAAATGTAAATTTGAATTCTATGAAGGTTAATACAAAAATAGGGAGAATACACTTTAGGGAAGCAAACAGGATTTTACTCTTTCATCGTATTTTATGCCTTCATTAAACAGAATCATTCTCTGTTCACCCTCATTTGTCCCATTCTGTCGGGGTATTGCATGAGTTTGATCGCTACCTGTATACTTGTAAATGCCAACTGGATTTCCCTCTTATGATGGTTCTTTTTAAGAATCATTCATCTTCACTTATCTAAAATGAAATTTAAACGTGTCCCTTGCGTAAACTACCTTATATCGGGACTTATAATTAAGATGTTCCCTTTTCCCATAGGTGTTGCTGTGGCCCACTAGTACCTGCAGTGAGTGCCATCCTCGGTGGCGTAGTTGCACAAGAAATAATCCGAGTAAGTTACGGACATTTTTTGCTTGCTAACTCTGTTTAATGTACAAGTTCCGTTTTCCAGAGTTGGCACATCATGCAACTTATGGCTGTGAAACAAATTCGACTTTACTTAATGTTAGTGAATAAGACTTTTTACCAGGTCTACGATCTTGAATGCAATTAGTTGCCGTACTACATTTCCATAAACTGAGAGCGCCCAACCGCAACTATCCTTAAAATAGATCTCTTTAGCTAAAAATCCAGGTCGTTTGTTGACCATCCTGCATTCACTTGTTTCAATGGACACCACCCAGCGGCAGATATGAGGTTGACGTACGAGAACTATGCCCGACATATTAAGTTATTCTAGAGTATCAAGCTTGGATTGGCCCATTCGATTGTTCAGAGGCACCAGGCACTCTTGATGGACGAAACAGCTGTCCAGTGCTCTTTGTTGGTTATCACAAACATTTCCATCGCATATTAAGTTATGTTTAAAGAACGCTTCCCGATTACTACAGTTAGAGTTCCTCACGTATGTCAAGAATCAATCGGACAAAGCGGAGACCAGATGCCTCCAACTTCCATGCCTGATTCACTTAAGCTGTACCATACTGAAGTCACTGTCTCCTGACTTATAAGTTGAGATTACGCCACCATTTGGAGTGATTCGTGTAGGAAAAACCAAAGAGGAATTAGTTCAGTCAACGTCGTCTCTATAGTTCTCGCTCGCATACTTCGTTGATTGTCTGCTGCATATGATCAGTGCACACGTAAGAATCAGGTTGGTTTTTAACCTAGTCAAGGTTGTATAGACCTCATCTTCACTCTTAATCAAAATTTTAAAACGCACAGTCCTTTTGGAGACCAACCATTTCTATCTTTATCGATCTGAGAGCGGCTTTCGACTCAGTCGACCACTCCAAACTCGCGCTACCTCTGAAGCGCGTGCCCGAGAAGTTCATTTCAATTTTGCGATCTCTCTATACTAAAAACGGAAGCCGAGCCCGAGATTTCAGCACTTTTCCACATGGGTTCACCACGGAAAGTGGTGTTCGTCAGGGTTGTCCTCTCTCTTTTTCTATTTTTTTTCATTACACACCTAGGTGTGATGAACTGCAGACGGAGCGGACCCCATAGTCATAAGGACCTGCTGTTCAGTGGTGCGAACCGGCAACCTAAGCTCCGGAACGTGAAGTGGCGAACCTCTATAGGTTTATTTTTCATAGGTTTAATTGTTGAAACAACCCTATCCTGATGCGAGAATGGCGGCATCGATTTGCTCCCAGGCGGTAGACTGTTATGGAGTATGCAGACAAAAATGTGCTACTAAGTGAAGGTCCAGGTAAATCGCAAGCGCTTCTGGATAGTTTGAGTACTAGTGTAGCTATGTTCGGTATGCGTTATGCACCTTCAAAGTGTAAAATTTTGCTGCGACGTTGGCCCAGCTCCCATCTTATTTTGACTGAATAAGTAATATAGATTTCGCACAGATTTTGTTATTTGAGCAGCTACATCTTACCCGGCGGACGCATCACGGCACACATACAGAAGGCTCGACTGACATTTGCCAACTGGAGATATTTGTAGCGCTGTCGCGACATCCGGCTGTCTGTAACAGGTCCTGTGCGTGCTGCAACAGTTCGGCCGGTTCTACCATACGGTGCAGAAACTTTGTAATTACAGGAATCAGATAACAATAGATTGTCGGTGTTCGAACACCGCTGTCTACGTCACAGTGAATGAATCGGGAGGGGAAACGGGACAAGCAATGCTGATGTTAGGCGTTCAGTTTTAGGTAATCTCGGTCGTCCACTAGAGCAAATGGTCGACCTTAAATAACGCTAGTTGGGACATATGTCAGATGTCACCAAATGGGTTGCCACGGCTCACGATTTTCGCCGATGCATATAGCGGATGAAAAAAGTTCAAGGGCGGTCAACCCAAGACCTGGCATGAGGGTATGAAAACCCTAACCTGGGTCACATAGGTCCCGTTAGGCTCCCTGGATGGGGACCCCGAGATCATAGTAATCGGTGGTTAGGAACGCTTGGTAACATGGCCGAGTATCACAAACAGTGGCGCTCATGCATCTACTCATTATTCTTGCAGCCTCAGTCCATATGAGTTCTCTCTCTGACTCTGCTCTCAACATTCCAGTCTTCGTTCTACTCCTTTATCCAAATGAGCGACCGAAAGACAGCAACCAAAACCGGCACGTGTGTCAATGGCACTTCGTTAGTAAAACAAATCATTTTTACATCCGACAATGACCACAAATGCAACCCAGATATTTGACTTTCAAACTCAATCGTCGTGTTGTCAGTGCTATTTTTTCATCTCGAAACACCTGTGCTATTGTTTTTTAGCCTTCTGTGGGTTTGCAATAACTCACCAGTATGTGAATACTGAACATGTCGTTTGTCAGTGAACCTGTGTGATGGTTTCTGTGATGGTTCATTGCAATTACGCATGGTGGGTTTTGCGTTGGGCCACTCGAAACGTGCGCTCCTGCTCAGACATCCTAACCTTTGTTTAGCTCTTTATCTTCCATACCCGCCTCTCTCCCTTTGCTCCCTCTTCCGACCGGTTACATCATCATCATTGTACAGTGTAATACAGTGAAGCGAACGTCACTAGCCACTGCCAACCTCATAAGGCATACAAGGTCAGCGAGAATATGTAAAGAGGATAGGGATTGGCCCTTTTTTAGGGACGGGAAAAGCGCACCTCTATGGTCAACACACAGTACACAGTTCAACTGTGCATACATACTATTTCATACATTCTGATCTGATAAGGAATGGCAGCGTGATCTCCAGTGCTGTCGGTTTGCTACCATGACCTTCAGTGTCTCCAACCATGCGGTTACGGAGTCTTTTGGGCCTCAGCCCGGAAGGGAGAGACACCTACTCTACCTCAAGTGCTCTGTGCATTTCTTCATGCCTCGTCTCCACGTCATCTGCTGGTCTCCACTTGGCCTTCTCTATCCTGCAACAGCTACTGCAAACACGACGCGCTGCGGTAGGCGAATGTCGGACATACGCCAAGCGTGTCCTAACCGTCGGAGCCTATTGGGCTGAATTCGATGCGATAATGGTCTCGTGTTCGATGCGTTCCCAAACACCCGAAGACTTCTGATCATCATCATCATCTTCGTACAGCGAGATACAGTGAAGCTAACTTCACTAATCGCTGCCAAGCTCACAATATACACAAATCAAGTGATAAAGCACGAGATGGGGAGGGATTGGGCCTAATTGGAGGGAGGCAGGAAAGTAGACCTCTATGTTCAAGACACAGAAACACACTCTAAATGTGCATGTATACTTTTTCAAGCATTCTCATCTAATAAGAAATGACAACTTCTAAGCGACTAACCCGATAACTCCATCCCACTTGGACCAGACTACGTAAGCACCGATTTTCGAAAACTACTAGGCGACGTATGTCTTCTACCCGCAAACTCAAGACTTCACAACCGTTAAGCAAAAATGATCGTACAGTGGCGCGGTATACGCGGATTTTCAGCTTCAATGAGACGTCACTTCGTCGCCACAAGTGCTTGAGTCCTGCGTACGCTGCTCGAGCTTTGGAAATGCGAACGTTTATCTCTTTTGATGCCTTACCGACGTTGGTCACCCAAGTCCGAGAAGTAGTCTCCTTCCACCTATCTCTTTATCCTGGAGTGGATCGTTAATCGTTCCGATCTTCAAGAAGGGATCTGTGCAAACCACCCTGGTCTTAGTTCAGTTCCGATCATCAAAAAAAGTGTTGAATTCTGTGATACCTCACCACCTGATACCTTCAAGTGAGAGGAATATCCGCGAACAGCAAGCCGGATGCCAACCAGGTTGCGGTTGCATAGACCAAATATTTACTCTGCGTCGAGTCCTCCGATTGCGTTACACACATCGTCGGCCAATAATCGCAGTGTTCCTTGACCTAAAAGGATCCTTCGATTCAGTTGACCGTGAAGCTCTTATGCGGTCGTTGCTTCGCAATGGAATGCCACGGAAGTGTGTAAACCTATTGCGGTCGCTGTGCCTACGTACTTCTGGTAGCGTAAGTCAATCGTTCGAAACCAGGAGCGGTGTTCGTCAAGGATGCCTTATTTCGCCTCTCCTGTTCAATTTTATCGTAGACGAAGTACTGGAGAACGCACTTAGCGGTCTACAAAATGTTGGTATTGAATTGACAGCTGGAGAAAGCTATGCAATTTAGAGTACGCTGATGACATCGTTTGTCTGTTCGAATGTAAGGAGGATGCGCAATGCGCTCTTGACAGTCTTTCAAGTTCTGTAACTTCATTTGGTATGCGCTTTGCTCTTTCAAAGTGCAAAGTGATGCTACGAGGTTGAGTGTCGTCTACCCCGGCGCTGATGCTTAATGGTCAAGAATTAGCTGTAGTGGAATGTTTCACCTACTTAGGTAGCTGCGTGACAAATGATGGCAGCATAGTCAAGGAAGTAGCCGCCTGCATTTTCAAGGCACGAGCAGCTTATGCAGGACCTAAATACCCTTGGTTCAGACGTGGTGTTTCGTTGAAACTGACAGGTCGTGTATACTACGCCAGTTTGCGGTCAGTTCTGTCCTATGGTTGCGAGAACCTAAATTTGCGAGTGGAAGATATTCGTTGTCTTCGACTACCGATGTTTACGTAGTTTGGCGCGGTCTGGATAGAGCTAGCGTGTAGGCAACTCTGCGATAAGGTGACATGTATTTGGCAGTGATTCGATGGAGAATTCGTTATCCCATCGAATTAAGGTCAATGGGCTTCGCTGGACACGTATTGCTCATGCCTAGCTGTCTTCTACCTCAGCACACCTTATTCGCAGTTTTGGCTCCAGGTTGGAAGAAATCTCATGGAGAACAAGAGATAACGTGAAAACGAAACATGAGGAGTTGCACAGAGCGATTAGGTAGAATAGATGTCTCCCGTCTTCCAGGTTGGGGTTCAAAAGACTCTGCAACCGGTTGGTTTGAGACATTGATGGACATAGCAGCGAATTGACAGCAGTGGCGTTCTTATTGAATGATTGGGAAAGTATATATGCACGAATAGAATTTGTACTCTGTGTGTTCGCTTTCTTTTCCACCCTCTGGTTAGGCCCAGCCACCATCCATCTTGTATTTTACGTACTTTGAGAGCTTGGCAGCGATCAGTGAAGTTCCCTTCACTGTATCTCACTGTACCATGATGATGATAATGATACTCGAAACGTGACCACTAACGTTCGAACTCCATGATCACCTGCATTGAACTCTCAGTTTAACACCGTTTCTTCCGTTCGGCATGTCATCATGCATTCAGCGGCCTAAAACACACCGACACCGCTTAAAGAACAGAGCATACGAAGTGAAGGTGATCGTTTCCCTTTTGTCAATACCGTACCACTCAGTCACTCAAATAGGTTAATTTGATTTACTTCGACCCAAGCTGTTGACAGACGTCGAACTCGCATAGGGAGCGGTGCTTCGGGTTGACGGTATCTTGGGGTCCAGTGTGCCGTAAGTCAGATCAAACAGTCTTTGGACAAAGATCCCACCGCCAGGGTGCTCAGTGCATCCCACTGTCTACTCGAGCCGATGTCCGCACATCCACTAATACTAAATCCAAAGAACGAGGTTGAAACGTCGGTGGTGTTGGTTCACAGGGCCAACTGGACGTAGAGGTAGGTGAGGCATATTGGAAGCAGCTGTGCACATGGAATAAGTACGAGGCAGAATCAACAGAAATATTTCGACTAAAGCTATACCCTCCTTGTGTATGCGCCTACCAGAGACATTCAGGCCAATATATTATCTCTTTTATCAGTTGACACAAGGTCATAAAACTTCATGTTGCCAACTATCGCACTACATTTAATCCCGCTCATATTTCTCACTTATTCTCTATTCTAGGCGATAACCAGCAAAGGAGCCCCGCAAGGAAATTGGTATTTCGTGGATGGCATAAATTGTTCCGTGACTGTGGAATGGTTACCCGAAACAGAAGCGTCAGCCTGAACATGTTGAATAGTATTTTTGTTGCTTTTTGTATAGACCGATCGCGTTTGTATCTTCCCTTTTCTCGTGACTGCTGTAAACTGCTACTGCAGTCTGAAAATGCAACCAGATATACTATACATAACTATCTATGGACCTCTTTTTTGGCGGAACTGATGACACATTGCAGCATAGCAGGTAAAATATGTTGAAACTCGTTTATGTAAGCCATGAAGTTCATTGCTGATAAAATGAATTTAAATGTAAACTAACTTTTTTGAATCTATCACTTAATCTCACGCGTCTACCCATTCAACTTTGAATTTCAGTTTATTGTTAGTTGAAACTACAAATCGGTGAAAAATTTGAGTTTTGTCTATCACAAGGTGATTATCATTTTCAGTTTACCTTGTGAAGAGATACACGAACAATATGCCAGATTCAGGAAAGTGACATGCAACAAGTGTGTGATCGGTTTCCGAACCAGTCATAGACCGTTAATGAATTTGAAGAAACGGGTATTGCTTCCCCTTCTAGTATCAACACTATTACCCGCCGGTTACAATGAAGGATGACTAGTTTTTGTATATCGGATTTCAAAGATTTACGCGAAGTCTATTCTACAAGATGATGGAACTCTGATGCAGTGGTTTCCCGCAAAGCAAGCAAACGTTCTCGTCCCTTAAGACCAAATACGGTTATCGGGTTGTACATCTACACACTGACGGGAAACGTTGCTTAGTTCTGTGCCAACATCTCGTAGACCCTCCGTGACAGATATCAAGTGTTACAGTCGGGTCAGCAGGCCCGAATATTGCAGACCATGCAGGTGCTTCACTGTGGTTCATTACTATCCGTTAAAAAGTAGCTTGATGGATGCAGAGCAATTCCGCTTATGTTTTACACGCTCAGTTGTTTCGGGTCATCATTGACAGGTGTTGGCTGTAACATAATCACTATTAGCATTTGGCCCCCAAAGAGACTGAGCTGTTGGGAGCGTTTAGCTTAGTTCCTGGAACTATCCCAGCACTCATAAATCATGTTGAAAAATGAATAAGACATTTCTAGCCCTTATTGGCAACGTAAATGCTTTTAATTTGCGTGAGTGTGGTTTTCACATAGACGGTATCCCGAATGTGTGCAAGATTAACGTGAATGCATATGATTGTGAAACAATTACCTCCAGGTGCTGAGCACTCGCAACAACGTAAGCAGACAATCATGAAGGGCAGATGGCTGAGTGAGAAAAAGGTTCCAGTGAGGCATGTGATTCAAGCCACAAAACTACTACAAACTTCCACCCTTTAATTTTCTAGAAAATAATAATTTCAGTTCTTAGCAGTAGTCTGTTGGTTAATGGCTGTTGTTGTTAGTGTTATGCACGTGCAGGTTTTTTCCGCAAATCTTATGGTACTGGTTAACGAACTGAGGACTATTGGTTTTTATTTTGCGGTCTAATCGTCGCCGATATCTACCAAAGATACAAGTAAAGAAATAGTGTAAAACCGGAAGTTGCAATGACAGGAGGTTATTTCCAATCCACTTATTGCAGAAGGCACGGGTTGTTCCATGTTTGTTAACGAAAATGGGGAAAATGATTTAAAACATCCGACTACTTGAAGTATTCGGCAAAACCAAAACGTTTTTGTTTTGGTTCCAGGGAAACCGAAGGTCCTGCACTGTATCTGATCGATCATGTGACTATTTCGATAGCCGAACCTATAGAATACCGCGTACGCCAAGCCTGTCGAGGACGAGGCGGAGTCAAATAAAGAAATCGTACATCTGACAATAAACCTGGGTTCACATTCAGCCAAAATGTATGCGAAAATAAAAGGAAACTGTCTGACAAAGCAAATATAAATGACAAAAGGAATAATTCAATGCGTCTCAGTTAATTCTGAACAAACTGGCAGTTTCGCTATGCCTTACCAAGCCAAGAAAACGAATGATGAGCGTCGCAGGCGAAACAAGTTCGAAATAACCTATGACATGGATTAGCCCAACAATTAGCGTTTAGCTGAAACCGAATTCATAACAAAACAGGGTAAGCAGTCTACTGAATTTTCGTACCTTGATTGTTTCACATTAAAAAGTGAAGTATTCAGTCTAGAATAGAAAGCAGACCAAGGTAAACACTGATCAGTAAATAGACACAAGCATACCGAAAGCGGATTGAGATGCTAAGAAATTTTGCGAAAATTTTACCTTCACTTAACATTACAAGATTATTGTCGCGAATCACAACCGAATAATACAAAATATCTCTTAACCATTCGACTGTTCTGTGTGGTTTGGGCATGGGGGCTATTTGAGTATTGACTTAGATTAAATCCTTGTAGACATCTGTAAAATCAATTGGATGTATCCTTTGATGATCCTACTTGATATAACGTATCCCACCGCTTTCACGTCAGCTTTTACTGCTTCATCGAAATGGGCAGCCAAAAGACAGCAACCTAAACCGGGACACCAAAGTCTGGTCAGTGGTTGTACTAACTGCAACCGCCCAGAAATGTAGTCCGTCTATAGATAATTGGAAAACGAAAGCGTATTCAAACTTCGACTAACTGATCCTAAGGTGATTAAATGACGGTAGAAAGTTCCGGCGAAGCTCATCATGGAGCCGCGGTAAAATAAGATGTGTTTGCGAAGCCATTGGCTAACCGATTCTCACACATCGCCACTTCAAACTTGAGATGCTAAGCAGTTTTTTAAGTTTTGCTCACCGGCGCCTACGCCACATGGCGAAAGTTAAATAGTAATTCCATATATCCATTGATTGTACGCGGAAAACCTGCTCGCATTCCGGCATCAGCGACATAGCCATTGATTAGATCATATCTTCAGATAACCGTCGATTGACCTAGTCAAGCGAAGCTTGATTCTGTTCCCCTACACCATCTAGAAATATCACGCAGTAGATAACTGAAATCCTGCTTTTTCGCAGTTAAGACTAAGAATTCTCACTTTTGAGAGCAATTTCTTTTCATCTTACTTGCTTTTGTTGAATATACAAAGATACAATTTTCAGGAGGAGGAAGCGGCCAATCAAAGGGCTGCCATTTAACACACAATGGGGAAAGTCAGGCGATGATGGTGGGATTCAAACATCCCCGGGCTGATAATTTGGTGACATTACCACCGCCCGGCAACTGGGTTGTGATGCTCGTCGATGTAACTCTGGATCGATAAGACCGACATATACCCACGCTGGATTTAGTATCTTAAACGTAAAAATTCAGTACGCCGTATCTGAAAAAGTGCGGTGTTAATCTATATTGAATGCAGCGATACTATAAAGTTCACCGATTATCGAGCTATGATGATGCCGACAGTTAGCAGGTTTTCAAATAGAACAAGGAGTGGCGAACAAGCTCTTTTTCAGTGATTCGTAGTCATGCCAAATACATCGCAATAAATATTACGCTGTTTATATATAAATCAGTATTCAATCATAAAAACGTAAACGTATGCTAGCCACAGCGGAAGCGGTAGGAATTCGGCTACACCACCGACCTTTGTGTGCCCAAAAACCATTTGTGCAGGCGCTTGAGCTCCCCTGGCCCACCCCATATTCCGAGTGGTCCCAACGATCGGATGACCTAACAATTATGCGATCATTGAGAATTCCATATCCGGTCCCAAGATGAACTTAGCCCCAAATAACCCATGAGGTTATTTTCCCTTTCCCGAAACATTTGTTTACGTTTTTATGATTGAATACTGATTTATATATAAACAGCGTAATATTTATTGTGATGTATTTGGCATGACTACGAATCACTGAAAAAGAGCTTGTTCGCCACTCCTTGTTCTATTTGAAAATGCTCTGTGGGACTGTTTAGACAAAGTTAGCAAGTTCGCCGTCGCATGGCTCAACACAGTGTGCGCTTTATTGAGGCGTCATATGTTTCGTCAATTCGAATCTCAGAGCTTATCTTTCCGGTTCTCTTAAGTCTACTGTGACTGCGGGACTTTCTCCTCTTTTCCCCTTCATCAAGTTATGGTACGTTAAGATAAAAGCAGTTCCTGTTTCAATTGTTTGACGGGCTGAAAAGTAACATTATTAACGGTGTACTTACGTGTCCCAACTCTATATGCTTTCCTCCAGTGGTCCAATTAAAAAAGTATTGAGAATGAACAAAACAAACTTGAATCGGTAAATCTGGTCGAACCGGATGATAGCTGGTTGGTACAGCGTCAACACACTCCTTCCATGCAACAGATTCAAAGTTCGAGTCCCGAAAGAGACGGTGGTTGAGCGTTGCCGATGAGTTTTGATGACAATCAAACACCAGTCTGGTGTTTCCCAAGTTCACTGTTGACTTCCTGAACTGAGGATTGTGGTCGAAAAGCTAACAAAGAAAAAGTACTAACTGCAAGTGAAAGCTATGTGATCTGGAAAAATGCGCTTCAGCAATATCACCCAGAGTCCATTGGTTAGAAGTCGTAAATCGTTCTGGTTGCACAGATCCGAAGCATAAAGCCTAACACCTTGCATGACGAATTCGGTCGACAAGTGTTTAGGCCTTTATGACTAGTGACGGTATCGCCCGCATTGATCTTCGTACAGCACCGTTAGGTCAACTAACCTTCGGGGTGTTTTTCGAAATCTAACGCACAGCAAACGAGGATACGAAAAACTCATCGACTCCTATATTTGCATTTGGGGGATAAGTTTGCATCTTTACTGAGGACGGGGAACATCTGGTCCCGTATTAAAGACAGGTTAGTGTATAGAAGCGGAGTTGATGTTATCAGACGAATTCACTCAGCGACGGTCAACAGTATTGTTATCGATCCGTCAGAGACGACCTGTGATGTGAAAACAAGTGAGACAGAGGATTGGTGTTATCCGTCCAATTGAATAACCGAAGAATCACTCGGGTGTACCTGTGGACGGTTCAACTGAGTACCACGGTAGCAGCCAACAACAACTATGTTCCTTCAGAAGACTGAATAGGGTATGGTGATACATCGTCTACATAGTAGCTCTTCTTAGATGTACTGTAATCCGTTGGCACTCACAGTGATATTCTATTCCCTTGTTGGTCCGCACGAAAGCACCCATACCCGGTTATGTACATAGCCGACTACTGACCTGCATTCAATTTACAGAAGTACACTTTTGCACCCGATGAAACGTAATATTGAAGCGAGCAAGCTGGATCAACGTGGATGGACTTAAATAACTCCGCATAGGTTCCAAAATAACCATAGGCTCAGCAAGTATTGTATTATCGAACTCGTGTCAGTATAACAGCTTACATTTTAGTTAACATCCATGTTTTCGGAATCACATTAACATTTCCATGTGATATGTCAACATGAGTAACGATACCAATAATGAAATCAACTGACGACTTTCGTGAGAGCTATCCGAATATCCTCAATGAAATTAGGCTTCCAGAGTCATCTGAGTGAACAGTTAGTCTGGGATCAAGTGTTCAGACCCATCAGAAATTACGCATCAGTCATAGGTCTCTACACAACGGGTTGATGAAGCCTATTCAATTTGACTTGATTGCAACTTGTCCAACAAAATGAAAAGAAACTGCATATATGTCAGAAAATATCTTCAAAAGCTGTACAATGAAATCCTATACACAATAAAGCGAACAGTGGTTATTCATCCTCGTCGTCAGCATCATCATCATCCTCTTCGGGAAGCACCATTTCTTCGACGTTCTTGCTCGCATTTTTCCTCTTCCGCTGGTCCTCGTCCAGAACACGATCATCGTCCTCATCGCCTTGTAGACCATTTTCTTCATCCTCTTCTTCAGAAGACTCTGAACTGCTTTCTTCACTTTCGTTCTCGAGTTTCTTTTTACGATTCATCTGTTCTGCCCATCTGGCAGCCATATTGAGCAATTTCTGATTCGGCTTGTCGGCATCTGTGTCCGGAAAACTGTACTCCACGTACTCTTCCCATCCACTTCGCTCGTCTCCCAAGCGTCGACTACGTATGATCTTCTGCGGCTGAAGCCTCATCACATCACGTTGTGTCTGTTGATCACCGTATTCGAACTAAAAACATAAGATGAACATAAAAGGACGGAATTCAATGATGTTGTGGCAACCAAGGGTTGTGTGAACTGTATAATAAAATCATTATCGATGATCGACAGTGTGTGCCTATCAGCTCAAGGAGTGAAGCAGTGTACATGGCCAGTAATCGGTCGCTTTTGTTAAACGGAATTTCGTATGATTGAAAAAAGGGATTGGCTGAATAATTGTGGGGTTCAAAACGATTTCAAACACATGTATTACGGTATGGTACCTGAATATTGGGACTGTATGAGAAAGTCAATATATTAACAGTACATCTTGGTTACCGTTTTATTGTATAAACAGTTGCACAATCAATGGTCAGAAATAGAGAAGTGAAAAAGAGGCTTCTACGGGGGACAAAGAAGTGTAAAAACTGGACAGTTGCAAGTAAGATTTGAACACAACACCCCGGAACGATGAAATGGTGACTATCAATCCCCGTAGCATTAGCTCAAACGAACACCAAGATCCGAATAGCTGATCACGAGCAATTTTTGAGGTGAAACAGTGATCTCGTAGAGTGTTTTACATGAGTTCAATCAAACGGACATAGTCGGGAACCTCGTTAGAGAAAAGAAATGGTTAGTAGCAATCAATGATAGGTTACTTAGATGACAAGAAAGACGACCTCCACTACAGCATCCCAGAACACGACACCCGTTACCCCATGGAAACAATCAGGTTGAGCTACAGTCTTGTGCAGTGTCCGAGGGACACAAATGTTATCCTACATTTCCATGAAAACTGATTTATCAAACCAAACTATTCCTGACAGCGGGGACAAGTGATGGAGAATCGAAAACACAGTAGACTGTGAAAGTACTATGTGGTTTTGGATGGAGTGATCTCATGAAGATATACGTCAAGACAAATGTCAGTCTATCGTAAGTTATCAGTCGCATAGTAAAAGGATGAAGTCTAGTACACCAAGAGACTCGAGTAGAATACCTTCTCTGATAAAAAGATCAATGTGGAATGAGTCATCCTAAATTAAACTGAAGCTCCAACGCTTTTTATGGATACTACATGACTTGTTAAAAATTCACTCACTTCGAATTCCTTCCAAGCTTCCAATAAACGAACACGCTGTTCCTTGTCATCACAATTGCGCAAAGCCTCGTTCGACTCCCGGTAGATGGCTCTGGCACGGATGATTGCTTTCCGTACTTCGTTTTCGTTGTGCTCACGAACCAGAAACTCTTTGTCAATGTTCGCACTTTTCAGTCGTTTCTCATCTTCATCATCCAGATCATCGATAGAAATATTGTTGTGAGCACACAGTTCGAAGTTGGCGAAACTGATCCACACCTAGACAGAAAAGGAGCATGAGAAGGGATGGGTGATGCGTTAGGCGGAGACGGCAGCAAACGCGAGGGAAGCGCCACTTACTGCCACGCTGTATTTTTGTGTCGACTAATAGCCGGTCGATAAGCCAATATATGGTACAACTAGTTAGACTGTGTTTTGCCATATCAGCTGCCTGCAATAGACAAGCGGATATGCAGATTTCCTCTCAAAATCAAGAACGTACTAAGCTTTATGCAACGCAAACTTTATTTTCAACTCGGGGGTGGATTGGAGATGAGGAAGTCCTGAATAATCATCAGCATGATTCTGTATCAAGTGTTGTGTTCCTCCCAAATCCACTCCCTGAGCTGCCAAGGAAATTTGCGTTGCATAATGCACATCGAGAGTTCAAGCCTAGGAGTGATCAGACAGAAGATTACCGCGAATACACATGTCTGACAAGCGGAAATGACCACGAAGTCGGTCGTGTGTCTCTGGAAGATTTTGTCCAGTCATTCATATACTACACGTTACAGAATACTAAGCTTTGGCAGGGGCCTGTTATAACCAAATGGCATCCGGATTGAATTACATGAAAAGATACAGTAGAAGGAAAACCCTGCATCAAACAGCGCCCCAGATATAGTCATCGACCTAGTATACGTGAAAGACTTCAATATCCCGTGTGGTAAGTGCTCTCGGTTGTTGAAAAAGCTGCAAAGTGAAAGCTTCCAGAGTTTTTTGGTGGCGAGAGACACATTGACTCTGTTTGATGAACATACTCTCGTAAATACGAATACACCAATGTCTATCAGGTCAAACCGTATACACCACAACTTTTGTGGTAGACAGTTTTGCTGTCGTCTTATCGGCGCCTTATGTGGTTCGCCACTCCAAGTCCCAGAGATTAGGTTACCGGCTTCCATCAACGAACAGTAGATCTTTGTGACTATGGGATCCGCTCCGACTACTTTTCATCACATACTGGTGTGTAATCAAAAAAATGAAAATTTCAACAAACGATTGGTTTGCACGGCGGTGGTAGCTAAGTGGTTAGATCATCAACTTGTGACCTGGGTGTCCCGAGTTCAAACCGCCACCCGCCTTCCCTGTTTCTGTATTTTTGAAGGCAGCTTTTTTGTATGTCCGCGGCCCCCTCCTGAATGTTGACTGCACATTTTTATATTCAATAAATAAAAAATGAAGAAAAGAGATTTATTTATTTGACTATCATGGAGACAGAAAAACTACGCAGACGATAGGCCTACCTTGACGTGTTGGGTCCGTTGTAGCAACCGGCGATAGAGTGACCTCGCCCGTTCCCAGTCACATTGCTCGATTTCAAAATCTATATAGGCTTTCCACAAAAGTTCAGGCATGTCTAAAAGTGGTCGATCAATTGCCAATTCATAGATGGCGCGTGCGCGATCCGTTTCACCCAGAAGGCTTTCCAATTCCGCATACTGAATGAGGATAAAAAGTAGAACTTTGATCAAATTCAGGTCCCGGAAAACCCCCTTTTATCAAGACATTTTGGAGCAAAACCAACTTACTTCAATTTTATACAGCGACTAACTATGCTTTGGAGTATGGTGGCTCAGCTTCCAAAGAACTTATACTAAATTCGTGTCCTTACTATGATGGAAAATACGAAATCATTAAATATTAAATTAAAACAAAACTGAATTATGCCGAATATTTGGTATGCCCGTTTTACGCGGACTTCACTAGGACAGAGGGGAGGGAAAATTGTGACCCAAGTGTTTGTTTCGAATGTACGTACAGAAACTGAAGATCAACGCCCAAAAATCGCCCATATAATATACTCAGCGGATGCGTATGGGATAGAAGAAATTCTGTATCAGAGCTAATCACTGTGCGACAGTGACAAGTAGACGTTAAACTGCCGGAAAGGACTCGAATGATAGCAAGTCATATTCATAATGAGAAATAATACGCTTATATGATCACAGAAGTTCCATAAATAGGTACAGTTTTGGTTAGGTGCACTATAATTTTATGTTGTTATAATTTACGTATACATGTATGCATAATCATCAAAGTGACAAGTTAAAAAACGGTTCTAATAAATACAATAACATGAACACAAGAAGACACATGTGGGCACAACTGACACTGGCCATCAATTTCATGTGCTCTCATTTAGCTATCAACATAGCATGACATGACATGACCTTCCCTCCCCCTCCCTCCACATCATTCGGACCAGGTCATCTCCGTATCAAATTTTTTCATCTAACTTGACCTAAACTCATAACCAAACACACATCACGCAACTCACTTGTCCACCGCCTTGTTTAAATGGCTCGTTTCAACTCTTATGTTTCTCTGTTTGACATGATCACATAAATGTGCGTTTATAGCTGAATGAGAGCACGCGAAATTGATGACCAATATCAGTTCTGCTCACATATGTCTTCTTGTGGTGATGAAATGGATAAAGGGAAAAGGATGTTTTACAATAAAATTAGTGATCTCAACGGGACAGCAGATACAGGACTGAAGTCAGCTTACCCGCATCCATGTAGTGCAATTCTCCGGGGAAAATTCCAAGAACTTTTCATATAGTTTTCGGCATCGATCGAACTCGCGCAACTGAATCTCCAGTTCTATATATCCTCGAAACAATTTATCCTTTGGGCACATGCCAATGGCCGTCCCCTGAGATGGACAGAAGAAGCAAATAACAGATGACCGTGGACAGAGCCGGAAACATAAAACTCAATGGTTGGACAAGAACACGACAAAAGACCATCTACCACACAACACAAGGTTCGCGAGTCTTGACGATAAATACTGTTATAAATACTGTTATTATCCGATTCTTGGGCGTTTTACGCATTGAGCTGCAAAGGTTCAGGTTTACCGTTCCTGTGTTTACAGGGCTTATGAAATGATACCACGGAAATAAACATATTTCAATGAGAAAGAAATAATTTTAAAATTTGGTGATAGACATTATTAGTCATATCCGGTGCAATACTAGGTCCACGAAGACCAGCCATCATACGTCTCGTCACCAGGCCTACCGGTTTTCCGCAACCCATAAAGTGTTTTATCCCTTTATTGATGTCAAGCTTCAAAAGAGGGCAGAAAGAATGAGGATCACACTCACCAATAATTTTCGTGCATCTTGAAGGGCTTTCTGGCGAATTTCAAATTTTGCAGCATACAACCACATTTTGGCAAAAGTGAAACGTCGATGTGGAATAAGCTTCAGGCAAAAACGATACACCTGACGAGCACGTTCCATATCCGCGACTGTTAATTCCTCGTACAATGCGTAGTTCAGCCACAGATAAATGTACCGTCTCCAATATCGTTTTTCCTACGGGGTGAGAGAAAAAAATCAGTACGAAAAACCTACAGTGGTGTGCATATTGGGTGGTAAAATAACAAGCGAGTCAATCAGTAAGTCACCTATGTGACTTTCGTGATTACCATCTTGTTTTTTTTCTTTTTCTGATGGGCACCGATTCTTTAGTCTCGAACCCCATCCACACTGAATTTTGAGTGTGAATAGCTCCCCTTTCACCCGGCTGATGCCACAAGCGTAGATAGACCTTGAATCATTCTCTAAACCGAGTTCCCCGGAGAATGGGCTACCGCGTTCTGTTACGGAATAGAAGATCCTCGTGATTCTCATTTTTACCCTTCCGCTGCAAATCACACCTATGTGTAATAAAGGATATTCACTAATAGCTTGGATTAGCCACAGGCAGGGTAACAGCTGTTTTCAGTTTATACAATCTTGCACTTTTGCCGAGTAGTTTTGGCCTCTGTCCTGAGGCTACCATTCGAACAAAGGAGTAGAGGAAAGAAGTAGAAAGCAGGGTTCTCACACCCTTATAACAGATCTCAGTTTGATCACCCTTAACACTTTCCATTCATTACCAGCCTCGGCAAACATCGCGTATCGAAAAAGTCAGTCAGGTGGCATGCGTAAACGCAATCTATGGAGTTTGAGCGCTTGCACCAACAAACAACCGGTACTCAATAAAAATCAGAATAAAAACAAATTACCGAAATAAAAATAATCGAAAACAATACTATGAAAACCAAGACGAGAAAAATACAAACCTTTATGGGCGGAACATTGGCTACGGCGCGCTCGTAGATTTCTCGACTCTGTTCAACCGAGCTTTCTTCCTCCATTAGCCTCACATAGTCGAACCAAACATCGTAGTTATGCGGATTGGCTTGGACTTCCTAAGGTTGGAATAAAAGATCATGGATTACGTTGTGCGCCGGAGCGGTGGTGGTAAGAGCAGACTAACACATTCCACAAGGGGATGGATGAATGTGATAACCAGAGTGAACAGTCGTGCACAGTTGAGAAGGAAATTGTGGTCAGAATGACTCATTATTGATGAACGCTTAGACAAATTTGAAATCAAGATGCTTTTAGAGAGGAATCATCATTAGCGGAATTTTATCGAGGCGTTTTTTATGTTATGGTCTTTACCAATCTATGTGACAAAAGAACTCAGGTTCCACAGAAAATTATTCTCAGAACACACTGTGGAAAAGTGAAGAAGTAAAAATATATTCGGATGTGATTTAATATACAATGTTAACACATCACACTTACCATCTCAGGCAGTCCGGTGCTATCACGTGACTTACAACCGAAAACTGTGGGGTTGGAGTCAACGCAAGTTTATTCTATATGCGTCCCTGACAAGTTTTACAAGCTTTTTCAGTAAGGAGGGAGGGGGGTAACGCGCTAACATTGCACAATCATTTCCTAATCGTGTAATCCCCTACTACTCAACAGAAAATGCTTGAACACATCAAGGAATGTAATATTATGTCAGACGCATGTGAGCACAAGAAAAGCAGGTGATGAAGTAAAAAAATAGGACAAGGATGCGAACCTCTTCATATTGGAATTTCCGTTTGCTCAGGATCACATCTTCGATTGCCAGTCTATCCCCGTACTTTTTCTCGTGAAGTGTATAGGCCTTGTAAATTTCTTGGCAATCCTCTTTTGGCAAATTGTCCAACGCATACTTGTAAATAACACGGGCTCGGTCATGCTTTATGGAGAAAAAGAAGAACAGTACCAACAGTAAATAGTATTTGTGATAAAAGTCGTGTACACGAGCACATACCACATGTATACGTTATAAAGATAATACAAAAAGACCGATTGAAAAAGGTGTACAAAGAAACAACGAAAAACGTTACTCTTTGTAATCTGTTTATCCCCACATTCATGCCTGACTCCCTCCTTGCCATTTTACAATGCTATCGCATTGTTCATATGCTTGTTCCAAAGATGATGTGATACGAACCACGGCAAAAAAAGCTTTTGTCATAGTACAATAGGGAAACGATGCAGCTCGGATCCCTTAAGGAATACTTCAATACTGACAGTTGTGTAAAAATTTAAAATGTTGTTTCTGGTGCAATTAGTATATTTGTTACAGTTTAGTGGCCGATCAGGTGAATCAAATGTGAACAGGCAAGCTAGAAAACAGCGTTTTGAATTGTGCGCTATGTAGAAAAGTACTCTGCGGCTAGGAACGATGCGACAAGGCTATATGACGATTTGATGAAGCTGAATGACAACCCTACAAGATTAAATGACGGTACAATCACATTGAAGGGTGATGCGACGCTACTAAAGAACGGTTTGAACTGGCTAAAGGACAGTGGAAAAACCGCTAGATGTGAATGGCGCAATTCGCTGCCAGGGCTGAAACACTCTGTTGAGGCTAACAAACACAACTATGAGAACATCGAAAAACTCCAGGGTATGCGACCAGAAACCAACAAAACCCAAAAGTTACAGGAAGAGGTCACACTGGTTTGATTATCAGGCAATTTAGTCATCGTTATTCGGAAATGGATTGATTAAGAAATATGTTTGATGGCGTGGTGAATGACGCTTACCAGGTTTAGTACAACTTGAAATATCTGAGTGTTTCGGGAACATAGTGCCAAACGCTTTGATTTCTGTACCGCTTCGGAATGCTAGTTCTGCAGCAATACAAAACTAGAGAATAAAACATTCAAACATAAAGAGTAAACCTTGTTTTCCGTAGTGAAATCGGGATTGTGATAATTTGATTGAATTCAGAAGGCTCTCTGTTGGCCATTAATCTTAACGAGAAGTAAAATTGAGACGATAGACTGACACCTACGCCTTGCCGGTTGTAGCAATGGTCACCGGCTCGATTGGGCCTTGAGGTGTATTGGGCACCTTGGACGTTTGAACCCGTCCGAAGGGCGTAAAAGCCGATGAACTGGACACCGGCTCCCAAAGGATTGCGGTTTTCACACCGCCCCGCTGCCTTGCGGGTCAGGCTTTCGCTAGCCGAAGGCTCCGGTTGTGGATTCCCCAAGAAAATTCACTTGCCTTGGCCTGGGGAACCTGGCAGTATTCAGCCCATATGCAAACCGTGGAATGTTTTTCTTTTTATAAGGATTATTGTATCGCGATTTACCTGGCACAGTCTGTTCTCAAACAAGTGTGAAATATCATATAAGGTAATAGTTAATGATTGTTTTAATAACACGGAGTATTCAGCTCCATTCGGGAGTGAGCAATCCATGACGAACCATGAATCTACTGCGATTAAAAATGTTTGCGGAAGAATTTATTTTTACACCAGATGAAAACACCCACCTCCTTTTGTCGTTCTTCGAATCGAGCAAATTCAATCAAAAGTCGAGCCTCCGGATTGTCCGCCCCGAAGAACTCCACTGCCCTTTCAAACACTTGGCGACAGGAGTTGATAAAACCATTACGTTCCTCGAATTTGGCGTACTTAACCCAATTTTTGGGCTCTGGATGAACAAGAACAAGTGCACTGAAGTCAAGGCCAATAGTAGTGGTGGTGGACAGGGAGAAATAGAAATGGCGCGCCCTCGGGAACAGATGCATAAACTTCTAGATCAAAACATCCCATTTCACCGTTACATAGACCTGCATGCTGTAAAATCTGCGATACAACCTCTCTGGTCTCCTTAAGGTACTACGTTAACATGCCAACATAAACCTAACACATTTGGGTATCTACCGCTGATTTCATGAGGTTTTATCAGACAACTTTCACCTTCACATTGTACAATGCTGTTATATCAGTGCAGTTTTCAATCTTACGCTAACTGGGGCAGAAACAGAGACGAACGCAAGTTTTTCTATTGAATAGATACTATCCTCGTCGATGAAACTTGTGACTATTAGGTAATTTGGTGATTGGGACGTGCCAAACTAGCAATCGAATACGCTTCTGCGGTGTGATCTTCTTCCAGAAAAGTAGTAGGCAAAAGATCCATGAAGGTCAGACCAGATGAATGTGTGAAGACCATAATTTCCGAATTTGGTCACGCAGGTTTCCGGTTGGGAAATTTGGGACCAACAGAATTAATAGCTAGAAATGAATGGTAAGACTGATGGTCGTAACACAGATTCAGTATAGTCGGATGAGTGTCTCGGGTTGCAGCTGATCACCATTCTCGTGAACCTCGCCAAATGCTCCCAGACGACCAAGCGTCTCGAATAGCTTTTGCCGAGGAAACCCTACTCACTGCCTTCTCGAGGAAAAAGTGTTTTCCCATCAAAGGAAGGGGACGAAAAGCCAACATCCGGGGCCACAAACGAGTCGGTGAACAACTGGCATTTCAGTTGGGGGAGTTGGCTAAAAACCCTGATTCCAAACCAACCAAGAAGAGGAGTACGAAAAACACACCACTCATTGGCTGTGGCGGTGGCCACCGGGCATCAAGGAACATTGGGCACCTTGGGCATTTGACCCCATCTAAAGAGTACATGATTCGATGTACTGAACGCCGGTCCCCAACAGATTGCGGTTTTTACAGACCACACCACTGGTTTGCGCGTTAGGCTTTGGCTAGCCGAAATCTCCAGCTGTGAATTACCCCTCCCCCCCCCNCCTCTTGCTTGGCCTGGTCAATTTGGCAATATCCCTCTCAGAAACAAAATCATGGAACTTTCTGTTTTTATGGGGATTACTGTACTGTGATTTGTGTGGCACACAACCTGGATTCGGACGCGTGTAAAATGCGAATGCGCGACACAGCAGAGCTTGTGCGAGCATCGAGTTAACCTCAAATCTATACCTTTATTTTGGCACTGATCCCAGTTTTTAGTCGGAGAGACTTACTACTTCAATGAATAAAAAAAGCCAAGCTTCTCTATTCAAAAACTTGAACTATCCCATCGCAGGTAAAACAAGTCTATTCTGAATGCTCTTTAGAAAGCAAAAAACCGCTTTTTCTGAATGAAATGTTCGAACAACCGAAATCGTTCACGTAAAAGGATATATCGTTCGTAAATAAGCCGCGCTTGATTCAGTTCCTTGTAGCGCAGTTCGAAATTGATGTATGCATGCCAGGCTTGTTCTTCCGGTTGCCATTCCATCCAGCGTTCGAAAACCTGTCTGGCACCGGCAATATTGCCCAACATCTCTTCCATGTAAGTGTATTTATACCAGAACTGATTAGCACGTGGCATGAGAACGACAGCACGATCCCACAAATTGCGTGCATGGTTAATCTGTTTGTTTCGCATTTCCATTTCGGCATATTTGAGCCACAGTCCGACATTGCGGTAATCGACATCGAGAGCTCTCTCGAACACAGATCGGGCTCTGGTGTAGAGACAAGGAGAACATTAGAGCATGTTATGAAGTTGATACTAGCATGACATGAAGTTGAATTCAATGAAAAAGGAAGAAAAATTGTGATCGTATTTGTATGACTACAGCTTGGTGGTTGCAACTCATGTTATGGTTGGGTTATTTTGATATCAACATGTTTAGCGGAAGATGCCTTCAAATTGGCTCCACGTTTGTTGCCAGCAAACTAATCAAACAGCAAGCCACGGTGATTTTAACGATCTATCTGTGTAAGTGGATGACCGTACTCATCTCCAAAGAATATGAGATCTTTGCAGAAAAGGTTTTGCTTATATTGGTTGGATCGCTTGCAGAGTTTATCCTGTATCTTTCACTATATGCACAAAATAAGAAGAATCAGTTCAGGTCCGATAGATTCTGTAAAGCTAAATATAATTGGGAAGGATGGCTGTTTTATTCCTGTTCTGGCTCACTAGCAATGCGAACACAGCTTCTGTTTACCTGACAGAACCCCAACTACCACCCTTAGGACCGGTAGTCAAGAGCCTTGTCCCTGGGTCACATAGCTGAAAGTATACCCACAGTTTCCTAAGTACAATATCTTATTCAGTCTCAAGATAACAGTTCGCATATTTAATTACACCCTTCACTATCAATTCGAGTCA